TGGGGTGGGGAGGGTGGGGGGCTCACTCTAGATCTTCGGCTGAAGTCTCACTTCTTAGTCCAGCTTTTTTAAACCGTGGCCTTCTTATGTCACACAGACACTTTGAATGTCATTGTAAACCTTTGCTTGGCACTAGGCTCAGGATTAGCAAGGAGCAAACCCAAGGAGCCACGGGGGGCTACTGGGAGCAGAGCTGCAGACCTCTCCTGGGGGTGTTTGGGGGGGGGGGCATGTATTTATATCATTACTGTCATTTCCTTATTCTAATCTAGCTTAAGAAACACTCAGCATCGCAGACCCTTACACACGTTACTGTAAACGACTTCTACATTACAGTGCCGTTACAAACACACGTTGTTGTTGTCCTTCTTAAACAAAACGTACCGTAGCTGAAAGCGTGCTGTGCTTGGAGTTCCCGTGCCGGGCCGCGCCGCGCCGCGCCGCGCGTTGGGCTCCGTCCTCTCCCGCGATCCGCAGTGGCCGGCAGTCTGCGGGCGAAACGAACCGGGCACCTTTTGTCACAGAGAGGCGTGGAGGGGAACAGACCCGGTAGGAGAAGCGGCTGAGGCCCAGTCTCTCTTGTCGCCTCCTGCTGGCCGGCTGCAGCCTCTCTAGCTGTAGTAATATAGATAATCTTTTAAATTGGCACCCTGTCCAGTTTGTCTCCTGCCTCGCGGCCTGTGCTTCCTGGCATCAGCTGCAGTCCTCGTCTGCAGGCATGCTTCTAGAAAACGGTCAGGTTATTTATTAAAGTCACTCAATGACCCTGATTTAAAAACAAGCATTCTAGGGCCCTTTTTGCACATCAGAATCCTCCATTTTTTATATGAAAGGTTTTGGGCAGCTGTGTTTCATGCCAAATCTCTCTTTTGTAGGTTTAATTTGCTTTTCAATTCAGAGTGAATGTTGATTGCCAAATCTGATATCACAATTCACTAGTAGCAATGCAGCGTTTGTTGGAACGACTTAGGATAAAATGTGACCAAAAGTGTCCTTTACAAAATGTTGCGTAATAATTTGACCAGTATCAAGTGTGATGTGCAAGGAATTACATTAAAAACAATTGGGAAAGTAAACAATTATATTTGGCATGAAGGGGAATGCAACTTGAAGTACTCCATGAGAAGCTGTGAAATGGCATTGTGCAGCAGTACGGTCATAGAATTAGCCTTTGGGCCACAAGTGTTCCTCTTGTTGGACTGTGGGAGGCAGTGTGCAGTGGACTGGTACCCGACACGCCAGCATCTTGTGACGGCACGATTGCTTAGTCTGAGTTTGGTTTCATCATCCCACTCGGATTTCATTATGTTGAAAGCAATCTTAGATTCTCCGTCTCCACCGCGGGACAAAGGTTTTCTGATGATTTCCGATTGCCTGTCTCCTTTGATAGAGAATAAAAGTTGGATTGACCGGCTTGTGCGTGGTGTTCTTATGCCGTTGGCCTAACCGTGTCGGTCCAGAGTTGCGAGAAAGCTCTGAATTCCAGCACAGTGTGGGCAGCGTCCTGGTGTGAGACGTAAGTGGGTTAGTGTGGAAGGTTTGTGAAACGTCACCCAAAGAACACCTTGAAAACTCTGTCTTCTGTAACCGGTTCCCCGGTACGGGAACATGGTGGGCCTGAAGTTTGTGTCAGGCAGGGGACTCCCTGGATGGGGTACTGGTCCATCGCAAGGCACACTCACATTATAGGCTTAAGAGAAGACAGTTACTCTAACTTTGTGTCTTTGGAAAGGAGTGCAGACTAGCCAATAGAAAGCTGTGCAAACATCGTGAGAGCATGCAGTCTCCACACATAGAAGGGACTGAGACCTCCTTACCCTGCAGCTGTGAAGCAATACTGCTTCAGTACCCTTTTTATTGTTAAATTTATCAGATAGCCCATGCATTCGTGGTCCAAGCAGGTGTGCATATGATTAAGAACCGTTTAAATGTGCCCACTGGGTATTCAGGGATGGATGCTTTCTCCCAGTGTAGTCCCAGTTAAGTCACTGGTTTTGAGTTATGAGGTTTTTCACGCTGGCTTCAGAGGCCGAATCAGATTAGTTACATCCATCGGAGTCGGTTCCCTTTATTTCCACACGTTTGAATGTTGAACTGAATAACAGCTGTGGTCTAGTTTTTGTTTCCACTGCAGTTGGTTTGTAAGGCCACCCGAGAAGCCGGCTTCAGGGACGTTAGTGACCTGTGATGTAAATCTGCGGCTTATCCAATAAGGAGCCTCCGGGTTCCCCTGGTGTCCCAGTTAACTATTGTGCAGTAAGTAATAGTAATGGGAGATTATGGTGCTCTCTTCCAATCGCTGTCACATCTGCCTTCCCATGTGAACCCCACGGGGGCCTGGTGATGGGGGGAGATAGCCAATCACAGCGAAGAACGTGTGTCACCGCAGGCGGAGTCGAGGGTCACAGCACGACTGATGGACAACATCTGTTAAACTGGAATACTGTACTGACACAAATACATAATTATCTTGCCATTTTTAATTTTTTAATATCATTTATTAATGTGATCATCATCAGTGTTATATATTATAATAGTTATATGTATTGCTTGACTAATTATGAACATAAATGTTAATACTTAATTGCGATTCTAGTTGCTACGTTAAAATAAGACCATCCCTGATGGATTTTAAACTATTTTGTGTATTTAACTGTTTGATTAATGCAGTAAGTTGTCATTATTTCATTATCTACTTCCACCTGATAAAATAAACTCCGTCAAATGGATTTTTGGTGAGAGTGCTTTTTGTGGTGGAGCTGCAGTTGCGGTGGTGTTCCTCCAGGGGGCCTTAGCCGGTGGGCAGGGCCCATCGGCGCACGAGCAGCAAAGGCCCAAGGTGGTGGGAGGTGCCTTCAGGTCACGTGACCAGCCCAAAAAGGCAGCTGATGCGGTGGGGAGCGCCTTGTGCTTTCAGGAGCAAATAAGGGTGATGGCATGTCAGAGGTCCTTACCAACACACCGTAACATCCTCAGGGAGCTGTAGGTAAAAATGGCCTCTTTGGTCAGGGAGCGAGTGCACCCAGAGCTATGAAAAGCTATTATTAACGTTGAAATTTAGCAGAAGCCCTCATCTAACAACAGGTGCGGATTGTAGCTGGAAAAAGATGCTGAGTTGCAGTGGGGCCTACATAACACAGGGGGGCGCTGGGAAAGAAGGGAGACCTGGCTTTCTTCACATGCTGTATGAGTGCACGTGAAATAAGAAGCGCAATAATATTACTGTCCACAAGATGGCACTAGTGTCCAGCCGTACATCAATGGACTGCGACTAAATGTCCGGCTTGACATGCACTAATGGAATAGAAACATTTCATTTGTGCCTCATTTTATTTAAAAAATGCGCATGACACTTTTCTTCAGTGGCATCATATTACATCATTTTAGATGTTTGCTGTGGTACCACTGAGAAGAGCAGTGACCTAAAACCCTTAAGTATTGTTGAAATATTTGATGAAAATGCTAGCTGTCCTCTGGTCCTACTTAAAATAACAGAGTTAATGACATTCTATAAATTAACAACCACACCTGGGTGAGGAACAGAAGCAGCGTATTAAATATGACGTACATCACTATTCTCGGGAAAGTCACCGTTAATTTCTTCGTGTCATTTTTTTTGGCAGAGTAATAAAAATCATTTGTGTTAAAAAAATTATGATGTCGTAAATCTCATTAAATATCCATCGCGCAATGCCAAGCCGGGAATCACAGTGCCGTTTCTTTTTCGCGGCAAACGCCCCCAGAATTTCACACTCACTTCCTTTTTCTTCTTTTTCCTTATTATGTTTTTATGCCCCATTTAGGCCCCCCCCCGTTTTCTCCCCCATCACCTGACTTTACTTATCCATTGTAGAAAGGAGTGTTAGCTTATATAAGCCCTGGTCTCTCGTCCTATTTTTCTCTCATACTGCCCCCCCTCCTCTGTCTGCCATGTCCAGCCCTCCCTCCTTCTCTTGCTCTGCCCCCCCCCCCACTTCTCTACACATTTTAACCCTAATGCCAGTGAGCTCCCACTCCCGCACCCCCAACAGTAAAAGATCAGTCCCTCTGAATCCAGCTGCTTAATTAACCAGCAGACATGAGAGTACTAGAATATGTAATATAATATCTCTGAGATGGTGACTGATTGGGGGGGTGGCGTGTGAAAAGCCGCTGGCTGGTTTGTGGAACGTGTGGTGTGAGAGCCCCACCTAGAAGGAGAGGTGTGAGGTGTTGATGACATGCAGTATGTCAGAAAGGTTCCACAAAGTCAGGCAAGAGGAAAGCCAGGAGATCGTTATATGTGTGAGAACACGCATTGGGGACACTCCACAGCCCCATAATTATGGGCATGGCAGAAGTATGACATTAGGTAGCGGCACACCTTCTCCTCACCATCCTGTGCACTTGAGAGCAATCGAAGGGCAAATTTCCAAAGCTGACTCAGTCCACGGGATATGGTGTTGAGAAAATTTCAGTGGAGTTTTGGGAATTTGGATGACATTAAGACAGAGTGAATTTTGGTTCCCAACACTGCAGCATATGACGAGGAAGCCTAACTTAAGGTTATTGCCTGTCTCATCTCAAAGACAACAAAAATGGATTACGTGAGTTTTGGAAACTTGCTCTTTAATTCAATTGGAAGCGACTTCGGTCCTGATGCACGGAGGAAGGCTGGCATGCGTGGAAGCCTGAGAGACTGTACCTGTGGTTTAGCTGTTAATTAGCTCTTTGCTACTTTAGAGGGCAGTAATTGGGAGAGGCGGCTAATTCTCTCCACTGGGGTGTGTGACAATCACAGAGAAATGCGTTTGCAATTCAGATTGGGTAGAAAATAACACACATCTCTCTGAGTGCGTGTGTGAGTAGCCTGCCCCAAATCGCATCGCTAACCGCAGTCCTTCCTGAGTGTCCCAAATGTACATGTACGGGAAAAATGAAGC